TGGACCCTCTGCACCCAAGGCCCTTGCTCACATCACACTAGTTTGCTGTGTGCCTCAGAGTACGGTAAACAGCAGAGACAGCATCAGACCACATTGTTAGAAATCAAAGTTTCATCTGCTGCTTGGGACAAGAGTTGCAGGCCTACAGAACCCGAGCCTGAGAAAAGGTTCATGTTATGTATGTACTGAATTTTTTTTTTTTTTTGGTACGTGCCCCTAGCGGGAACCAAACCTGGGACTCTCTGGTCCGCAGGCCGCCGCTCCAACCGCTGAGCCAAACCGGCCAGGGCTGTACTGAAATTTTTTAATGTGCTTGGCACAAAAACTCAGGGGTATAAGCAACTGGCACATACTCAGCAAATGGCTTCAGGGCTGTAGCCCCAGCTCTTATGGTGCCTGGCTGCTCCCAGGCCCCCACACAGGTGGGCAGACTCATGTCATCAGCCCCTAAATGATCCTTCCAGACTGGGAACCAACTAAATGAGCCTTTGAATCCAGGCAGAAGAATGTGCCAGAGGCCAAATTTGACTGGCAAGCCAAAGAATCAAATCTAAAAGGGAGATTAAACAACAGAGACAATTCTGACCTGATTTATGGCAGCAGCTGCTACTTACTGCTCTAGAGAAGCAAAAGCCTCTGAGGTTCTCATGACATGTAAGCGATGACCAGACAACTGCAGACACATAATCCCTAGCATGGGCATGCTAACAGTGTACACAGAGCCCAGCCCTTTCCTTCAAGATCCTGTCTTCTTCGAGGGCTAATTATAAGTAAGGGCTACCATTTTTTGAGCAGCTACTATGTGCAAGGCCCTGGGCTAGTGCTTTTCACATCCGACTTCAATATTCATGATCCTGTAAAATAGAAACTATATTCATGGATGAGGAAACTTGCATCGAAGGTTGAGTCGTAAGTAGGGGAAGGCAGGGATTAGGGCCCAGGCCTCTAGGGCTTCAGGCCTGTGTTCCCAGATGCCTCTTGCTGTTTCAGAACCCTGGAGCCTTGTACCCTCATCTTCGCTTAGACCAGCGATGGCGTAGATGTCCACCTGGCCCCGGGTCTCTGCTCCAAGTGCATCACCTCTCTCAGGTCTCCACTGCACGGTGGTACTGAGGCTCTGAAACACAGTCCTTCCAGCATGCTGGGGAGAGCTGCTTTAGTAGTAAATGATGTTGTCCTCAGGGAACATTACCTCTCCACCTCTACCCCAAAACATAACCCTCCCAAAGCAGAAATATTTTTCCAAATACTTTGCTTCCAACATTAATTTCTAACCTCAACTGCTTTCCATCACAGCTTTCTTTGTTTCTTTTATACCAATAAAACAATTAAGACAATTCTGTCCATTTTGTTTTATTTGTTAAATTGCTAAAAAGTCATCAGGGGAAAACAACAAAAAATGAAATTGACAGAGATTTAAATATCAGTGAAATCAAATCCACTTTTCACTCCTACTCCATTATGTGCCTAAAATGATCACCTCAGGGTAAGCCACTGGGGACCCCTGAGTTGTATGGGAAACATCACTCAGCACCAGCTTCGCCAGGGCACACCGGGTGTGCACTGACATAAACCCTGGTTGGTGGGAGGAGAGCTGAGCAGGGAGAGAGCGTACAGATGGAGGCAAAGCCTCAGGATTGTTCTCATTTGACAATGACCATGGTGAGGGAGCCACTTACTGGTGACCATGCAGAACATGCCTTCTGCAGTTCGTGGGGAGGCTGCACAAGACCCAGGTCTCAAAATTCAGCTTCCTTGCCCCTGGATGTGTTCAGATTCTCCCCCACTGACTTGTGCGCTGGCAGAGACCACAGATAATGCAAAGCAGAGCACATCACCATGCCAGGATCACCACAAGGACAAGGACAGACAGACAACCCAACCAGGAATATTACTTTCAAGGGGGAGGAATGTAGCAAAGCAGAAAGAAACCCAGAAAGAGAAAGCGAAGGGAAGGGAAGCAACCCTTTGTTCGCATCAGCTGGTGGCTTTCTGTCCTCCAAAGTCAAGATTTCTTAAGTTGGTTTTCTTCTTCCTCCTCTTCGTTTCTTTATTTTAAAGAGTTCCAACACAGTTCCCAGGATAGTTCATGGTTTCAGTTCTTGATACAAAACTCAAACATTAAAATCAAATCAATCGTAGAGGGCTGAGAGGAGAGTAAGCCCAGTATGGCCGTACAACTAAAGTTAAGCTTGTTTCGACACCTAATTTGTGCTCCCAAAATGTGGGGTGGGTGGGGGTTGTGGAGCCCACCACCCACGTCTAGAATAACAGTGAAAATGTGAACAAAAACACAGAACCCTCTCTGCCGCCCAGACTGCCCAAGGAGAGAACAGGAAGCTCTGTCCAAGAGGGTAAGAAGAGACTGAAACTTCCACTTGAGGTCAACAGGTGGCGGGGAGTCAATATGACACAGGGCTCTCAAAGGCACACTTGCAGGAATGGAAAGGGTTAAAGCTTCAAGTAGAAACAAAATGTACTTTAAATACTTAAATACTGATAAATATTTGCTTTAGGTGCTCCTGAGGGTTTAAAAAAAATATTTTGTCTCATTTTCTCTCAGTGAATTTTAAGACAAAATTGGCATCATATCAAAACCGGAGTTGTGGTTAAATCTCATGACTGAAGTACGCACAGCGCTGCAGAAATGGTCACCTCAGCCTGAGGTTCCACTGCACGGCGGCTTCCCAGGGCCTGAGGAGACAATCACCTTGACCGTGCCGCGTTGCTCTCCCAAGGTACGTGCCCACAGTGCCCAGGAGTCACCAAGACCAACACCACTGGGTGAAGACGAGGCAGATGTTTCTTAAAGAGCTGTAAACGGACAGTCTGGTTCCAAGCGGTGTGGGTAATACTGGGATGCCAGGGAGTTCCGAGGAGCAGGGTCACTTTCTAAAGGAATCACCTCTGTTACCTGCCTACTTGGGGAAAGCAGAAGGAATCAACAAGTTAAAAGCTGGCTTAAGGAAGACCACAGGACAAAGGGAAAGATTACGAAGTTGGGATTCTGCACTTTCAGGCTTCCAAAGACTTTATATTTAAATAGGAACTGAGTCTGGAGGCACTGTCCATGCACAAATGCAGTGTCATAAACATGGTTTAGCAACAGCAATAATCCCGAAATTGCTAATCTTCTAGGCTAGCTTTCTCCTGTGAGCAAGGGCCCCACATGATCTAACAGTCTTTGCCAAAGAAGGATGGGCAGCAGCCCCCGAGCAGGGCGTGTGGAAAGCTAAGTGCTGGGCTATGAGCAGCTGGACACCACAGCAAGTAGGCACATGGTAGCTCCCTCATCTGAGGGAGCACAGAGAGCAGTTTCTGGAACACGTGTCCCTCCTGTGAGCTGCCCCTCTCCTGGGCTTGGCACCAGGGAGGCTTTCCCACCAAGACCACATTGTAAAAGCTGATGGCTGGGGAAAGGACTCAACACGATGTAATGGGAGAAAACATATGTATCAGACAGACTGCTGAGTGCTGGCTGGAAGCCAGGACCCAGGGCCAGCTGCAGCAGGCTTGTTCTTGGGAAATGCTAACAAGAAAAAGGGGAGTGGGGGGATGGGAAATGCAATGTTTTGAAATTTAAATCCTAAAGGCAAAATAAAATCCTCTTTCCACTGATGAGAAATCACCAAAAATCCATATTTAAGTGGTTCCAATGTGTCCAGGCCATTGTTTTAGAGACCATGTAACTTCCTGCATCAACCAAAGAAATGCTCTAGTTGGTTGCACCTTATCTCACAAACAACATGAAAGTAAAAAGCCAAGCCTTGTCTGGGTGACAAACGAACAAGACAATTACAAAGAAGGAGCTGCTTCCAAGGTCAGACATACATCAAAGGTCAAGCACATGGTACTCAGCCCAATCTCTGGGTAATAGCCAGGCAGAAAAACGCATGTCACAACAAGGGCAAAACAATTTCTAGAAGGAACCGTCAATGAGATTCCCTCTCAGGATCAATTTCCACATTTTAAAAATATGGATGGGTGTGCCCAATGTGCTTTGGAAGTAAAAAGAAGCTTGTAAGGAAAGAACAATATACTCTGATGATTCGAGGATCTCTCATGACACTGGCATCTTGGAATTCCCTACCGGCCTGTTAGTGACACCAGAGAAAGTGTTCCAGGAATACTTCTAAGAGATTTCTCTGGGCACTTGAGCTTTATAGAAGAAACAAAAAATGAGAAAGGTTTTAGGGCTTTAAAAAAATCTGCATATGCCAAAAAAAAAAAAAAAGAAAAGAAAGGCAGCTTCTGAAGATCAAGTTTTAAAGGAAGGAAAAGGAGAACAAATGTGGTTTTTGGCAACTTGCAACCAAGTACAACTGTCAGGAAATTCCACAATCAGATACCAAAATGTTTTCTGAGACACGGAGGGAGCATTCAAAAGACCAATGGACATTAGGTGGACAGGTGTCGCTGCATACACATTGTTTCCCAGTAGTCCTGACACACAAACGTGAAACAAAATCCCTTGTTGGTAACTGCCCTCAGTCACAAAGGGCAGAATGGGGCCAGGCATAGGGCACTACTGCGCAGAGAGGTTTTCACAGGTCCCCTGTGGTCTTAAGAGAAGGGAGAACAATTTTCTACAGGCTATTCTTACCCTGCCAGCACCTGAAGCACTCGAATCTAAGCCTCCACCTGTACATCTGACATGTGCCCTTTCTTTGTCTAACTCTGAGAAGGCCACGGAAGATTGACAGGGGGCTCTTCAGTTTCTTTAGGAAAAGTTCTGATATTAGCCTATTCCCTAAATTCTTGGTCTAGTTACCAGCAAAGTAGAAAAGGCAGCACAGCCTCTGCTAAAACACAGCAACAATTTTATCTGAACCAGGACAGAGATCTCTCCTTCTTTGTAAACAGAGTTGGCTATATCTTATACATTTTATATATATATATATATTTTTTTTTTTTTTCCTTCCTTTTTTTTTCTCTCTCTCTTAATGGAGATTTGATCCCAGCCTGGAGTGAGTGAGGTTGGGAATTGGGGTTTTGGTTTATGGGAGTAATTTTGTCCTTTGTTTTCCTAATTCCCAGTCCAAATGCTTGCACGCTGGAAAATTCCAAATGAAAAGCCACAGAAAGGGAAAGGGGTTTAGAACATTATCTCTTTGCTCGCACAAAGTACAAGGCGTTTGTTTTTGGATAGTATTTCACATTCTGTTTCTTGTCCATGAGTCCTCCAAATATGATGAGTTCACCCCTGCCTTGTACCACTGTATGCAGGCTGGTTTCAGGAGGTCCGACCACAGAACTGCTATTAAATACTTTCCATTTGACCCGCCCCTTCTCCTTGGTGTCTTTAATGTCCAGCACGTACATCTGCATGGGCTTGCAGTTCATACTCTGGTACAAGGGTTTGCCAACATTTAGGGACTGTGGAGGGTGGTGGCCCAGGCGGCGGGCAATGGGAGGTAAGGAATGTCCATCTCCTTGTGCTGGGCCTGGCCGGGGAACAGCTACCGTTTCTCCACTGCCCAGGTTCTGACTCCCGGGGGAGCCTGGAGAAGATCCCAGAGGAGGACTTAGTGCTGAGGAGGCTGAGGGGCCCTTGGATGACATTGCTTTGATGGCTTCTAGACTCCGGCGCAGGGCCCCTGGGGAGACGGCTCCTGCAAGGGCACTGGCCACATGTGGTGGGGTATGCACACCATTCGTCTGTTCAGGAAGGTGTCTCATACTTCCCCCGACTGTCCTGTTGTCCACACCATCCATGTGATTGCTACTAGAAGCGGGTTTCAGATCCCAATTCAGATCTATTGATCCTAATCTCAGATCTTTCTGATCTGGTAGTGACCCTCGTCGAGGGGCCAAAGAAAGTCCCATTTTTAGGTCATATCCTTCAGTGGTAGATGGAGTGCTAGGAGATATGGCCTGTACGGGGCTGTCCAAGGAAGAACCACCTACAGCTGCTATTCCTGGAGATAAACTCCCACCATTAAGGACGGGAGACCCATCTCCTCTGGCTGGGGAAAGGCTTCCTTCCCGGGAACTTGAGGGCGTTTGCCTTTGAGCTCTGGGTCTCAGTGTTCCCCAGCGGCCGTTAACACACGGAGCTTCATCCATACTCCTTACTGGAGACTGAGAACGGTACTCTCGGGTTTCGGGAACCAGGGCTGGAGGAGTGGCACTGATAGGTGATGGGCGAGAGTTCAAACTGGGGCTGAGTGGGGCTCTCCCACTGGGAGCCTGGCTGAAGACCACCACACACTGCCCCACCTGGAAGGCAAAAGACTTGTGTTCAGTTCTCATCATTCATTCAACTATCGAACATGTTATCATGAGCATCTGGGATATACCAGGCATGTTATAGGTACCTGAGATTCAGAGATAAAAATAATGCAGTCTGCTTTCTAGGCTAGAAGGGGAGATGGACATGGGAGCCATTTGTTGCTATAGTATGACATGTGCTATCATTAGAATTATGTCTACAGAATAAAGATAGAGTAGAGGAAGGAATCAATTTTTGTTTGGGGGATCCTGGAGAAAATTTTATAGAGGTGCTTAAAGCTGGGACTTAAGGGATGACTGCAGCCACAACCTGCATGCCCCCCACTGGGAATCTGGCCTACAACCTGGGCATGTGCCCTGACCGGGAATCAAACTGGCAAACTCTTGGTGCACGGGTCTACGCTCAACCACTGAGCCACACACTGGCTGGGCTCGTCTAGTGATTTATATATATGAGAAATTACCAAGGAGCTATGGGTAATGCCCACTTATTTTGTGACATCAAGGTGTTTTCATTTTCCATACAAATTTGCTTAGAAATCTGACAAGTTCATTTGGTTTTACAGTTCCCCACTTACCCGGCAAGCTGGATGGCACCACAGTTCTGGGGCTCCATGATCTTCATTTTCTACCTTGAGAGGCTGCCAGGCCCAGGGACCTGGGTGCATGTGCAACAACCAAGCATCCTTGAACAGCTGTAAGAGAAGGACCAACAATAGGACTCAGGTGTGGTTCATGTTACAAAACACACACACAGAGCTGTGATGTCAAAGATGCACTGTCTAGTCTAGAGAGTGTATGGGCTCTTCAGAAAGAAAAGCAGAATTTTTGGTTATTCATTCATCCATGCCTTCATTCATTCATATATTACCACTGGCTGGGCACAAGAAATCGTGCTTCTGACCCATGAATCAATTTTTTCTTTTGCATTTATCTTGAGACAGAGCGGGAGGGAGAGAGGGAAGGAGAGAGAGACACATCAAGTGGTTGTCACCCACACAACCCCAACTGGGGCCAGAAGAAAAACCTTTTTTTTTAAAAAATTCTCACCCAAGGATATTTTTGCATTTATCTTTAGATAGAGCAAGAGGGAGGGAGGAAGAGAGAAATATTGACGTGAGAGAGACACATCGATTGGTTGCCACTTGCACAACCCCTACTGGGGCCAGGGATAAACTGCAACCGAGGTACGTGGCCTTAATGGGAACCGAACCCGGGTCTCTCTGGTCCGCAGGCTGACACTCCAACCGCTGAGCCAAACCGGCCAGGGCCATGAATCAATTTTAACTGGTTTTGAATTTTGCCTGTGGTTTTAGGTGTGTGTATGTATGTGTGTGTGTGGGGAGCGGGGGTAGATAATACATATCCATAACTTTTTGAACCTGCATTCTTATTTTTTGTTATTTTTTAAATCTCAACTGAGGACATTTTTTCCATTGATATTTAGAGAGAGTGGAAGGGAGGGAGGGAGAGGGACAGACAGAAAGAAGCATCAATGTGAGAGAGACACATCAATTGGCTGCCTCCCACACTCTCGACAACTGGGGTGGGGATTGACCATGCCCTTGACCAGGAATCAAACCAGAGACCCTTTGGTGTGCAGGCTGACCCTCTAACAACTGAACCACACTGGCCAGGACTGAACCTGCATTCTTAAAATAAATTCCATGTAAACTCCGACAGCTATCAATTTGCTTTTCCGTTCCTTCTCTCCTTGAAAAAAATGATAGCAGCAACCCTTCCAGCCTAAAGAGGAAGCGGGGGTAGGAAGAATAGAGATGTGAATATTCAAGAGATGAATGTTTCTGATTAAAAGCATCTCCCCCGCCAAAAAAGCCCTGGCCGGTTTGGCTCAGCGGTTAGAGCGTCGGCCTGTGGTCCACAGAGACCTGGGTTCGGTTCCCGCTAAGGGCACATACCTCGGTTGCAGTTTGTCCCCGGCCCTGGTTGGTCGTGCGGGTGGCAGCCACTCGATGTGTCTCTTTCATGTTGATATTTCTCTCTCTCTCTCTCTCCCTTTCCCTCCCTCCCACTCTATCTGAACAAAAAATGGAAAAATGTCCTCGGGTGAGGATAAAAAACAAATAAATAAATAAAAGCATCTCCCTGCCAATAAAAGTGGAGAACAAGGCCAGAAAATACAAAGGTTATATAACCAAATGGAGAAGGTGCTCTCTAAATGAAAATGCCACAGAAACAGTCTTTTTTTTTTTTTAATAGTTATATATTTTTTATTTGTTAATCCTCACCTGAGAACATTTTTCCATTGATTTTTTTTTTTTTTTTGATAGAGTGGAAGGGAGGGAGGAAGGGAGGGAGAAACATCAATGTAAGAGAGACACATTGATTGGTTGTCTCCCACACAACCCTGACCAGGGCCAGGGATTGAACCTGCAATCCAGGTACCTGCCCTTGACTGAGAATCGAACCTGAGACCCTTTGGTGCACAGGCCAACACTCCAACTGCTGAGCCAAACCAGCCAGGGCACAGAAACAGCTTTATAAGACAAGATGGGAAAGCAAGTTCTGAACTTAGCAGCACGTGCACTGGGAATGCCACAGCAACGATACTCACAGCATTGGGACCGCCACACCCTCCAAGGATTAAGATAGTTGCATCATCTATGACAATCTGGGGACAGGAAGAAATTTAAAATAAAACTATAGAGACACAGGTATCTGACCTCCTATGCTTCAGTTGTATAGGAAAAGTCTACCCACTCCTAAGTGGAATATTACTTTTAATTACCATAAGCTCTCCATTTGCCCATGTCAATTTTGATCCCTGTGAACAAACTGATGATTCACCTGAGTGGCTATAGTTTTTGTTGATCAAATATTAACATGAGAGTGCCAACCACATTAAATGCAGGGTTCTCTTAAGAAATGAAATAGCAAAGTAAATGCTTTGGGGAGAGGCATAATATAAAGCCACTTAAAATAAATATAACCCATTAGAAGCTGGAAAGCAAAGACCAGCAAAAATAATGACAAATTCTCTTTTGGCTTATGGATGTTGGCATCTTACCTGACTCCCTCCTCCCTCTCCCATCCTAACAGAAAGATGCTACAGTGTTTGCTACATAGTTATTTTAATTCCTGAGCACCTGAGATTGGCCACCTCGAGGATGAGGACTGGGGCCAGAGATGTTTGGCTTGGACCACGCCCACTGCTCAAGGTCAAGGACCCAGACATCATTGCTCCTGTAAGATAAGGACATAAAGATGAAGGATTTGGGAGCTACTGGGGACCACAAGAGCTGATATAAAATTACATTTATAAAGATGCGCCACAAAGTGCCATGCTCATAGTTAGCACTTAAACTATACTTTTCTTTTGCTCCCTTCCCTGGAACCCATCTCAAGACCTTTAAACCTCTGCTCTTTCCACTGACCCATAAGGACTTGCTTGTCTGAATCATGTCTGTAGCCACACACTAATACCTAAAGAGTTAACTGGTGATAGCAGGAAATAGCTACTGATAAAGATAGTCTTTCTTCATTTAAATATATTTATTGATTTTAGAGAGAAGGGGGAGGGGGGAGAGAGAGAGAGAGAGAAATATCAATTTTTGTTCCATTAAACTATGCATTCATTGGTTGATTCTTGTATGTGCCCTGATTGGGGATTAAACTCACAACCTTTTCATATTGGGAAGACAGTCTAACCAACTGAGCTACCCAGTCAAGGCCAAGATATAGACTTTCAAAAACAAAAACCAGAAGGAAGAAAAAAGTTATTCAAAATTCAGCTCTATCATTGTCTAGGAGATAAATGATTTATTGATTCTGGCTTCAAAAAGTAATTTCACCATGGCTAATGAGAGCTACGGTTTTATCAAAGACAAACTGGCATCTCCAACTCTGAAGGGTCCAGTATGGCAAGGAGAGACTCCTAGATGGTAGTCTCTATTTTATGGTCCCCTCTGTAAGGCCACTTATTCATACATAGGAAACACAGGAATGAGAGCTCCAATCCTGTAAGCCTTAACCTTCCTCACCTAGAGTATAGTTCACACTGCCCAATCAGAGTGATTCAGATGGAATGCTCTGGCTCTTGGCTCTGGTCTGAGCTGGCCAGTTGTGGCCAGAGGTGAAGAGGATAGTGGGTAGGGTATGGAGAACAGCCTAACAGAAGTTGTATCAAACCTGTCACAGTTTTCTTGCCTCTACCCATTCCCCCAACCCATCCCATTTGGAGAGTTAACCATTTCCACCTGTCCTGTTAATCTACCTCTCTCCTTCTCTAAAGTCCCAAAGGGAATGACCTGGGTCATAAAAGAGAGCAAGAAAAAGTACTCTGTTTCTTGGAAGGTGGCCTTCTGTAGGCACAGGTAGAAGCAGACACGGTGGAGGTTCCATGAGAATTTGATCCCATCGAATAGAATCACATACCAAACAAAAAGAGACCACACAGACCTGATTCTATGGAGCAAATCTTTCAACTTACTGCTATATGACTAGGGGATCAGAAAATGGAATGCTTGGGCAAAAATACTAATTGGATTAATCAGGCCCATGTTCAGGAATGCTGGCCCTGACTAATTCACTTTTCTGACTGTTATTCCCAGAAGTATTTACTTTCAGGTTGACAGGGAGAAAACCAAATACACTTACATTTGCCGGGATCCTAAGGAGCCACCAAAGACAATCATTTTATCATCTATCACACAGGAGGAATGGCCAGCCATGGGAGGTGGCCCATGGGTCGTCACAATGCAGTTCCACCTAATATAAAGACAGGAGGAAGCCAAGAAGTCAGGAATCATCTGGATCCACAGCACTCCTGGAGAATTAGTAGCCAACACTGAAGAGCTCCCTGTTCTTCAACTGGTTCATTTATTTTTATTAAAAGAGGAATTAATCTCTTCTACTTTTTCTCTTTGGAGTAAGGGTTCTTAACTTTAGGTTCTAAGGGGTCCTGGAAACCCTCTGAAACTGCAGGCAAAATCTATGCATGCGTAAAATATTTTTTCTGGGAAAAGATTCCAGAGCTTTCATCAAATTCTCAAAGAGATTTCCGAACACAAAAATAGGACAAGGAATCCATTCGTTTAAAATATTTTATTCCAGCCCTGGCCGGTTTGGCTCAGCGGTTAGAGAGTCGGCCTACGGTCCAGAGAGACCTGGGTTCAGTTCCCGCTAAGGGCATATACCTCGGTTACAGTTTGTCCCCGGCCCTGGTTGGTCGTGCGGGTGGCAGCCACTCCACGTGTCCCTTTCATGTCGATGTTTCTCTCTCTCTCTCTCTTCCTCTCTCCCCCTCCCACTCTATCTGAACAAAAGAATGGAAAAATGTCCTCGGGTGAGGATAAAAAAAAAGAAAAAAATAAAATAAATAAAATATTTTATTCCAGATTGAAAAGATCTTATTTTTGTGTCTTACCAGTTTTTAGAGGGTGAGTAAGTGTGTATTTCATCAAAGAATCTCTCTGGTTGGTGTAGGGGATAAGGGCTTGGCCGTGTCCAGCCACCAAACAGCACCAGCAGGTCCTTGTACACGACCAGAGTTGCTCCGGCTTTGGGGGAAGGATAGGACCCTGGGAGAAGTCAATAACAGCATAGTTAGGGTTCAGGGTCTTACGACAAGCCATAGATAGGGTGTCTGTAGATAACCTTTCCCTGGAAGAGTGACAAAACAGGAACCAAGTCTACAAAGCATAAGAGAAAGGGGGAGACAAAACTGGGTATGCAGGTCTGAGAGAAAACCATTACCAATTTATACACCTTTTATAATTTAGACAGAGAAACCTGAGTACTTAGCCTCTCTGAGCCTTAGTTTTGCTTACCTGAAATTAGGGGTGAGAGTACCTAGGTTATTAGGCTGTTTTGTGTATTAAATAATACATTCAAAGCACCTAGCACAGTGCCTGGCACATAGCAGGTGCTCAATAAATGTTGACTCTCCTACTCATCCCTTTACTGAACTTAACAGAGAGTACACAGAAAAGAACGTAAGGGATCTAGGGAGGAGTATGTATATAGAGAGGCTAGATACCTGGATGCCACTTAAAAATAACTGCTGCTACCAAACATAGGTAAAAAAGGAGATAGAATGCAGTTTTCATTTGTCCTATGAGTGAAATGTTAACAAGTGACATCTAGGCCCTTAGCTATGGGCCCTATTAGCACCAATGGGAGCAGACTTCCAAGGCTCTACTTGAAGGCGAATGCAACTGCAGGTCTCACACCAAGAAGGGCTACGAAGGCCCTCTAGGCTGGATGTCTAAGCTAGCTCTGTTGACTACATTTGGAAAAACCAGAAATTTGGCTTATGCTAGAAAACTTTAGGGATAACAAATGTCCCACAGGAGCATACTTTTCAGAGCTTTTGGTCTTTGAAATAATAATTCCTGTTTCTTTCGATCCCTTACTCTATATGCCGCTTTTAGTTTGCTGAAGACCAAAATACTTTGTCTCAGAATCCAGGTGTCAATAAATAGTGGAATAGTAAAAAGAATTTGTCGTTGCTGTTGTTAAAGGTGCAGGATCTATTTTTCAAAGGAAATCTTAAGCAGAAGGAATCACAATAGTATATTAACCTGATAGCAGTTGAGCTGTTCCAATTTAGGTGGATAGCTTGGCCTCCCCCTTCAGCAAGGAATTACGGGAACATGGTTTGAAAAACCCTATTCAGGCTGCTTTAATGGTGTCAATCACAAAATCTGAGGTTGAAAAGGTAGAGCAGAGGACTGTCTTCCCTGGGATCTAACTTAAGAGTAACTTCACATGATTTACTGAGAAGGTGCCAGTTCTCAGAATATGGAGTAAGCATCTAAGAACACTTTGTGGTATCAGCATTTTTTACTACTTTCCTAATAAAACAGACATCAAAGCAACAGGATCTCACCACAGAAATCAGTTTTCTCTAGGAACCATTCTCACATCAATCAGTAGCTCTCCCTCCTATTCCTATCCCACAGGAATCATGACTAGGGGCCACTTATGATCTGTTGTTCTTCATAGACTCTCATGATTTCTAGTTAAAAACATTTGCCTACCTAGGGGGAAGCTCCCTAGCCCAACTAGAAAACCTATCTAAATATCATGGTCTAGTTAAAATGCTAGTGTTCTCTTCCCAAAAGTATCTAGAAGTGACCTCTGAAAATGGTTTGCTACTCACTTGACTCAGAAAACCCCACAAAACCATGCAAATCAAGAGGTTCAAATCTTCATGTTCACTTTTTTTTTTGGTACATGCCCTGAGCAGGAACCGAACCCAGGACTCCCTGGTCCGCAGGCCGACGTTCCAACTGCTGAGCCAAACCGGCCAGGGCTTCATGTTCACTTTAAGAACACTTGTGAAATTGCCCAGGCCCTCAAGAGTACGCATATTTAAAAAACCACCAAGTATCTGAAGGATGTCACTTTACAGAAGCAATATGTGCCATTCCATCGTTATACAATGGTGAAGTTGGTAGTGTGCCCAAGCGAGACAGTAAGGCTGGACACAGGGTTGGTGGCCCAAAAAGAATGCTGAGTTTTTGCTGCACATGCTTAAAAATGCAGAGAATAATGTTGAACTTAAAGGATTAGATGTAGATTTTCTGGCCACTGAACACATCCAGGTGAACAAAGCTCCCAGATGCGGCGCAGAACTTACAGAGCTCATGGGCAGATTAACCCACACAGGAGCTCTCCCTGCCAAAAGGAGATGATCCTACTGAAGAAGAGCACACTGTTCCTAAACCAGGATAGGAGGTTGCACAGAAGAAAAAACATCCCAGAAGAAACTGAAGAAACATATTTATGGCCTGAGAGTAAATTCAACATAAAATAAATACTAATAAAAGTAAAAGCAGGGCCTGCAGCCCAGGGACCTGGGTTCGGTTTTCCCTAAGGCACGTACCTCAGTTGCAGTTTGTCCCCAGCCCTGTTGGGGATTGTGCAGGAGGCAGCCACTAGATGCGTCCCTTTCACGTCCATGTTTCCCTCTCTTGCTTTCTTCCTCTCTCCCTCCCACTCTATCTGAACAAAAATTTAAAAATGCCCTCAGGTGAGGATAAAAAAAAAAAAAGTAAAAGTAGTAGCTCTGGCCAGTTTGGCTCAGCGGTTAGAATGTCAGCCCATGGACCAGAGTTTCGGGTTCAATTCCCAGTCAAAGGCACATACCTGGGTTGTGGGTTTGATCCCTGGCCCCAGTAGGGGTTGTGAAGGAGGCGATGAATCAATGTGTCTCTCTCACATCAATGTTTCTCTCTCTCTCTCTCTCTCTTCCTCCCTTCCACTTAATCTGAAAAAAAAAAAAAAAAAAAAGGAAAAATATTCTGGGGTGAGGATTAAAAAAAAAAAAGTGAAAGCAGGGGGGGAAAATGCTAGTGTTACCCAAAGATGGTTTAATTTGTGAAATAGCAAATAAAGCTTCAAGTTCTTGTCCCTTCCTTGGAACATAAGTACCGTGAAAAAGTTGGGAAAAGCAAATAAAAAATATATATAACAGACTTCAGTAGAGTAGTAACTTAAAAACCTTCCAGGATGAGATTTGAATTTGGATTTGGACTTGATATACAGAAAATCTTGGCTTTTAAAATCAAATGTATAAAGTAAAGCAACAGACCAAGGGCCCATAAAATAGCCAACACATAGAAACAAACAAACAAAAAGTTTTAATGTAAACTGGGCAATCTGTATAAAAAATTTAAGTGCCCATAATTTAAATCAGCAATTTCATTTCTAGGTGTTAATCTAATAAGACAGCTGGGCAAATAAAAAAAGAACTAGGCCCTGGCCGGTTTGGCTCAGTGGTCAGAACGTTGGCCCACCAACCAGAGAGTACCAGGTTCAGTTCCTGCTAAGGGCACGTACCTTGGTTACAGATTGTCCTTGGCCCCAGTTGGGGTCGTGTGGGTGGCAACCATAATGTGTCTCTCTCACATCGATGTTTCTCTCTCTCTCTCTTCCTCCCTCTCTCCCTCCGCTCTATCTGAAGATAAATGCAAACAATGTCCTTGGATGAGGATAAAAAGGAAAGAATTAGATATAAACATGCTCATTTGCAGTGTTTAAATAGATCAAGGACTATCCATATAAAACAATATTATGTGGTCATTAAAAACTATGTAGATCTCTATTTGTCCTAGAATAATGTCCATACTCTCTTAAGAAAAAACTGAAAGTAGCAAGAGAAAAAACATGGGATAATAATAGCTAACAGTTGATGGGCACTATGCTCCTGCACTGTTCCTAGTGCTTTACACATAATTAATTCACTTAATCCCTATAAAAACCCTAGGAGGTAGGCACCACTGTATTCCCATTGTTTGAATAAATAAACTGAGGCAGAGTGGTTATTTTCCTCAGGCCACACATCCAATTAGTGTCAGAGAAGGAATTTGAATCTAAGGAAATTGAGCTCACTTAAAATAATCTATTTTCCTATAGGTGTTCATTACACATAAAGAAAGTCTAGAAGGTCAATAAACAGTTGATCTCTCTGAATGGTAAGATTACAGATGATTTTTCACTTTCTTCATTATAAAAGTCTTTCTGTATTGGCTGAACTTTGCAAAAAGTGATGCTTGTTCACTGTGATAGGGGAAAAACAAAGCTATTTCAGTTGTTAAAAATGAAAAATATGCCTCAGCCAGTGTTGCACAGTGGACTGAGCATCGTCCCATGGACTGAGAGGTCCAGGTTTGATTCCTGGTCAGGGCACATGCCTGGATTGTGGGTTCAATCCCCAGTAATGGCGTACAGGAGGCAGCCAATTGATGTTTCTCACATAGATGATGTTTCTCTCTCTCTCTCTCCCTAAAAAAATCAATAAAACATATTTTTTAAAAAAAGTGTTGGTAAATATATATATATATATATAATCAAACCAGTGAAAACACTACATGTTAGACCTACACTATCCAACACAATTACCATTAGCCACATGTTTATTAGGGGCTATCGAATAGGAAAGCATAGATACAGAGCATTTCCATCATTACAGAATGTTCTACTGGACAGTGCTTCTTTAGACAAAGGATTTTAACTTTATAACTTTATAAACTATGTCTATGTTCACAGGGAATAGGGAAAATGGTAGAGAGGGATAGATGATTTAATTAATTTTTAAGAGCTATTACAATCTGGCCAGTGTGCTCAGTGGTTGAGTGTCGACCCATGTACCAAGAGGCCGCCAGTTCGATTCCTGGTCAGGACACATACCCAGGTTGTGGGCCTGATCCCCAGTAGGGGGCATGAAGGAGGCAGCCAATCGATGTTCTCTCACATCGATGTTTCTCTCTCTCTCCCTCTCACTCTAAAATCAATAAAGGAAAAAAAATTTAAAAAAAGAGACATTACAATTACTGGTACTTGTAACTATTACTACAGCTATTACACTAATGATGACAATATTCATTGAGCATTTACTATTTGCTAGGCACCTTTCTAAGTGCTCTGAATGTATTAACTAATTTAATCCTTCCCAGACTCCTAGTTTTATTCTCATTTTACGATGAGAATATTGAAGCAGAGCTCATTGAAATAACTTGCCCATGGTCACAAAACTAGTTAAGTGTCAGGGCCAGATTCCAATCCACTTACTCTG